GAGAGAGAGAGAGAGAGAGAGAGAGAGAGAGAGAGAGAGAGCCCTTGATGCCAGAAGCAACAGCAGGACCACCCACACTCTAGGGCCCTCAGCCCAGAAAGCACAATCTCTGAAGGGCCTGGAAGACACAGTGAAGCCACGCTACCCCTGCCCCGATGCCAAGAGGCCACGGGGACTTGCCTCTACCTCCCCACGGAGCAAGAAAAGAATCATTGACCAACTGAACCATTCCTTGTTAATGATTGCTTAAAACAGGAAGTAGCTATTTTTCAAGAGGCGGGATCCTGCCATCACTGAGAAGGGGACATAGGGCCTGATGAGATCAGTGACAGGTTAAAAGGTGTGAATTTTTGCATGTTGGATCCATGCCACCTCACGTCATGCCTGCTCCACATTTTTTCCATTTTTTAAAGAGCGCTTGCTATGTACCAGGCACTAGACAAAGGGTGCATTGTGCATAGAAAATATAATAGGATTACAGGTACGGGTAGACTCAAATGTACTGACGATTGTGAGGATGGTTCAGGACTGGGTAACAACCCATTCTCCTCTATCAGGCTTCCATGAGTCAAAGCCGACTTGATGACTCACCATGACAACAGCAAGAGAGACGGGCTTTATATGAAGTCAGTGGCATTCCCGAACTGTGCATGCTTGAGAAAAATGAAATACAAAGACCAGACATACATTGTATTTATGATTTAAAGTGGCGTGGTTTATAAGGAACACAATAGTAAGCTACATATTTCCAACACAAAGTGTCTCCAAGCAAAATCAAGTTGCAGATTTTTGACCCAATGAATGAGCTTGGATGTGAACATGAATCACTTTGCATTCTGAACAAGTGCTATGCAAATTCACTTCAGTATTTGCAAGAAAACTGTGTTTCTGAGAAACATTAAAAAAAAGAGTTCGGCAGCATTCCGGGGAAAATAACATGATTACAGCTCTTACCTTTTCTTTTATGATCAAACTACTGATGGCATTGCCTAATTGAAGTCACTTGGGCAGGGAGAGTTCCGTGCGAGAATCCAGAGACCGATTCCAGAAGAGATGCTGTGCCTTTCCTTCTACCGCACACATGTTTACTGAACAGTCATCGCGAGCCAGGCGCCGTTCTGCAACATGGACAGACACAGTCTGGTGGGGGAGTTTAAAAATCGACTTTGTTTTCTTAGAAAAATAGATACTGTGCCTAGCTATAAATTTGCGAAACTTTCTGTTTGCTTATTTCCAATTTATAAATGCTTTCTCTCCCCGTCTTCTCTCTTGCGCCCTTCACCTCTTTGGGGGGAAGATGCTGGCATTGTCGCCCCTTTCCTTTTTGGTTCATTTTTAAGACCGTTTTATTGACATATAATTCATGTACCGTACATTTCAATGGTTTAAATATATTACAAAGAGATCCTATCACAAACCCTCATTGTGTAAATAGTGTCTAATCACTATTAGACACTTAATCTGTATAACTCAGCAATTCATGTTTCACAGTCTGAAGCTGGCCTATGATTGTATAATTTCCTTTTCTCAACAGTGTTTTGATTCTATATCACTGCCTAAATTAATGATGCTATCAATAGAATTACCTTATGCCCCAGGGGGGTGATTTGTAATATTCTCTATCATAAAATGGCAATGGTGTCTCTAAAATGAACCAGCAACCCATATAAACCATCAATACATGGATGGATTTGGGGCTCACATTTCATTCGAGCCCCAATCTCAGAATTAGGTCTTATGACGTGGCCCTGCTCCATACTTGCCCTCAGGAGGAGATCATTGAAGATATGGAGTTATAGCAAGCTATGGTGAAGAAATAAGATGATGCTCCGCTACCAGAGAGAATAGCGTCTGAGGCCTTAAAGGGTCGTCTTCCAGTAAGCAGCCGTATAAGTGAGGCGCCAGCTAAGCCACGGAAGAAGCACACCCGCATGTATGATCCAAGGACTGCAAAATAGCAAAATCCAAATCCAAGGGAGGAATGGTATCAGAACTTAAACGGTGAACACCCAGTTTGCAGAAAGCTGTGGATGACAGTGGAAGGCCAAAATCCACTCAAGGGGCCCCACGTGGATTGTCTGGTGAATCTTCTCTGACCATGGTGCAGGGAGGTGCCTAGCCAGGCTACCAGACAAGGCGCACAGTTGACTTGATGATGGCAGATGGCGTTAGGTTAAAAGGTAACACCTATTATTTGATCTCCTTTGTAATCCATTTTAAAGATGTTTTGAGTTTTTAATATCTTCTGCGTTCTCTTTGATTGAGGTGTTTCTATGTTTTGTCTAGTCATTGTTGGGTCTTTGCTTGCTTTGTATGATTGTGTTTGATTTTGTATGATTTTATGTATATGAAATCCAGGATAGGTAGATCTACGGAGACAGTAACTAGGTAGAGGCACGGCAGGGGAGGAGGGGAAACGGGAGCTAACAACAATGAATATGAGAAGAAAATGTTCTGAAATTGAGTATGGTGGTGACTGCACAAATCTTCTTACTATGTTTGGACAATTAGTTTGATATATGACATATATGCCAATAAAACTATTTTAAAAAAGGAGTGGTGCAATCATCACCACAATCAATTTTAGAACATATTTCATTCTTGTACACTTATTATTAGGTACCCAATACCTTGCAACGTCTCCTGCCATACTTAAAGAACTACTCACTAGTTACTGTCTCTTTTGTGCAAGAGCCCTTGTGTCGTAATGGTTACATGCTGGGCTGCGATTCGATGGTTGGCAGTTCGAAACCACCAGCAGTTTAACCAGTTACAGTCTCAGAAACCCACAGGGTGACTATGAGCCAGCACTGACTCCATGGCAGAGGTTTTGGTTTGGTCTCTTTTTTATGATAAAGAAAATCATACTGAAAACCTCCAATAATGACAACAAAATGAAACACAGAGAAACCTCAATCCCAGGGAAAGCAACATATAATAGAAACCAGAACAAATTAAAAATGGGTCACAGGTAAACAAATGATAATATGTTAGATTTTAATTTAATTATAACTTCAGTAATCCACTTTCCAAAGCATTTTTCCCCCCTGAGGGCAAGACCATTCACATCCTTGTTCAGTGGCCATAAGAGGATTTGATGGTGGTGGGATAGTGGTTACATTTTGCGCTGCTAACTGCAAGGCCAACAGTTCAAATCCACCAACAGCTTCTCAGGAGAAATAGCTGGCTTTTCTGCTTCCGTAAAGCATTAGTCTTGGAAACCCACAGGGGGCAGCTCTAACCCACAGACTCAAAACGAGTGAACACTGACTGGAAGGGAGTGAGTTTGTTTGTGGGGTTTTCTGTCTCAATCCCTGTGGTGACTCAGCAAATGGAGTTTGAGCGTTCGCCGTCATCCACATTGGCTAAGCTTTGGTCTCCGAAGAATCAATTTATATCCCAAAGTAATACCTTGATCTTCGGAAAGACCATTTATAAGACACCAGACATGCTTTCTATCTCTTGAAGCCCTTAGCAGCTGTTTGGAAACGCTTTCATTCCACCAGGTTTCATTACCCTACAGCTTTTATCCCATCTGAGAGCGATGGGAGGAGAGAGCCACACAGCGCTCCGAGGCACTGGGTGAGCACTCCTATGACATAAGCGGTGGGCTGGGGGGCGCATAAAGCTTGACAGATCGCGATAAGGAAGTCCACGTGGTGCGGTTCCGAGGGAGAGCGCAAATGAGTCATGAAAGTACTGTTTACCCTGTCGATCCAGGTTCAGTGTCTGCCGATTCAATTCACAGCAGATTAAAAAAATACTAAACAAAACATGTAGAAAGCGCTCCCCAGAGCAGAACGTGAGTTGACGGCACACCGACCACTCTGCGGGATCCACATGATTGATGTGTGGACATACCCTGCTGTGGACATACCCCCTGTCATTTCACAGATCCTCCGTCTCTTGCCCGCACCCTTTGAACCTTGCTCACTCGGAGGCTCACTGTCTAACTGCTTATTGGTGTGCACCTTTTGTTTCTATGAGGGGAAAAAATGGTTCCTAAAAGGGCGATGAAAGCAATCCTTCAAAGGGTAAATGCTGTTCCATGGAGTTTACACCCTACTGGGGAGTTATGTAATCCAGAGAGGATTTTGCTTACGTTAATCCACAAACGGTTGCAGCTGTGTATTGATAGGTGGTTGTAGTTGCCAGATTCAGAAGAGGCTTGGGTGATGATATCATTGCTGAGGTCAGATGGATCTTGGCTAGAGGCAAAGAATATCAGAGATCTTCACTTATGTCTTATTGACTGTGCCAAGGCATTTGACTGTGAGGATCTTAACCAACTATGAATAACACTGAGAAGAGCAGGAATTCCTAAACACTTCATTGTGCCCATGCAGAACCTGCACATAGCACAAGAGACAAACATTCAGAGAGAACAAGGACTACTGCGTGGTCTAAGATCAGGCAGGGTATGTGGCAAGGTGGCATCATTTTGCCTTACTTATTCACTCTGTGTACTAAGCAAATATTCTGAGGTCTGTATAAAGAAGAACTCAGCATCAAGTTTAAAGGACGGCTCATTAACAACTTGCCATCTGCGATGACTCAGCCTTGCTTATTCAACGTGAAGAGAACTTGAAGTGCTTACTGTTGAAGATCAAAGACTAGAGCGGTCAGCATGAATAACACCTCAATGTAGGGAAAACAAACTCTTCCCAACGGGACCAATAGTCAACATCATGATCAATGGAGAAAAAGGTGAAGTTGCCACAAGTTTCATTTTGTTTGGATTCATGATGAAAGCTTATGGACATAGCAGTTAAGAAATCAAAGGACATATTGTGTTGCAGAAATCTGTTGTGGAAGACGTCATTAAAGTGTTAAAGACCAAAGACATCACTTTGAAGACCAACGGGCCCTGATCCAAGCATGATATTTTCAATGGAAAACTGGACCATGAATAAGGAAGAGAAGAGTTGGTGCTTTTTAATTCTAGATCTGGGGGAGAATACGGAGTGTGCCACAGACAGCAGACGAACAAACAAATCTGTGTGGGAAGATAGCCAGACGAAGTTCTCTTGAGAAGTGAGGGTGTTAAGGCTTCATCTCATGCATTTTGGACAGAGTATCAGAAGGGACTAGTCCCTAGCGAAGGACATCATGCTTGGAAATGTAAAGGGTCAAAGAACACGAGGCTGACCCTCAATGAGATGGTTCAAAACTGTGGCTGCAACAATGAGCTCGACCATAGGAATGGTTGTAGGGCTATCTCCGGATTGGGCAGTGCTTCATTCTCTTGTCCAGGGGCGCACTATGATTTAGAATTGGCTCATAACAATGGCACCTAACAACAACAATAGGGATGACTTCAAATGTAGAGGAGGATGTGCATAAATTATAGGCTAAGATTCCGCCATTTTATATAAGGGTCTGGAGCGCCTGTGGATTTCGGCACCTCTGTCTGTGGGGATCATGGGACCCAAGCTCCACGGATACCAAGCGGCGACTGTGTCGGAACTGAAACTGCACGTATTAACTGCATCCAGGGAACATCGCCCTCTTCTCATTATCTACACTAACAACCATTTTAATAGAGTTATTTTTAATTACACATTTTACTCGCAAACTATTTTTGGCTCCTGCTAGTTTCTGATGATTCAGAAGAAGAAAGGCTTATGTTTGAATAATGTTTGAATAATGGTATCACTAACGATTCTTCACAAATGTGTCGATAGCCTAGTGGCCTAGAATTTCCTTCGGTTCCAACTAGGGACGTTTTGACTAGATTCTAAATCAGGCAATCCTGTAAGTTACAGAGTAGAACTGGTCCAGAATGTTTTCTTCCCTGTGGTTCTAACGGTAGCAAATTGCCAGACCTTTTCTTCTGCAATACCTCTCTGAGTGGGTTCAAACTGCCAACTGGTAGGTTAGCAGTTGAGTTTTAACTGCTGTGGGACTCAGGGACACTTCATTGTTGTTGTTAGGTGCCTTGCAGTCGGTCCTGACACCCATAGCGACCTT